ACACACTTCTGTGTGCCTCTGTTTGTCAATGTTTTCTGGGAAACAGTCATCATGTGAGGATTTAGCATACAAGGACTTTGTCAGGGAAGATATCAGTGAGAGGCAACAGGGAGCAAGCTAGAGGAGTCTGAGAGAGTAATCAGGTCAGGATGCATTCTGACTTCAAGTGAAGAAGAAGGAATGAAGCTAAGATGGAAACACCCTAGATCACTGTGTAGTCTAAAAGAGTTCAGGAAGGCCTTCAGAAAGCCCTTAAACTAACATCTTCAGTCAGAGGAGCCTTTCAACTCCCAGGAATGTGCCTGCTGTAGTACCCCTGCCATGCTAAGCACTGGATGGGGGCAGCCCTAGGAAGCGTGATTTGGGAGGAAATAGGGCAATGATTTCAGAGCACAGTGCTTGGGGTCCTTAGTCAACTATACTCTCTTTCTACAAGGCACATCTCATGGCCACCATATTTACCTTACAAGTTTATTGTGATTAGTAATAATGTAGGAAAATCACCTAGGACAATGTGCTTGACATACAATGCATGCTCAATAAAGAATAGCTATTGTCATATCTCATTTGTGAACACTTTATCTTAATCATTCTGTGGTATTCATAAAATATATACTCTTATCTTCTTCCTATCAGATGTTTTTATTAGTTTGCTAGGGCTGCCATAACAAACTATCACACACTGGTTGCTTAAACAGAAATTTATTTTCTCACCATTCTGAAGGATAGAAGTCCAAAATCAAGGTGTCATCAGAGTTTTCTTCTGAGTTTCTTTCTTCTCCTTGGCTTGTTGATGGCCACCTCCTCCCTGTGTCTTTGTATGCCCTTTCCCTTCTATGTGTCTATGTCCTAATCTCCTCTTCTTCTAAGTAATCAGTCATGTTGGACTAGGACCACACATATGACCTAATTTTATCTCAATTACCAGTTTAAATGCTCTAACTCCACATACAGTCACATTCTGAGGTATAAGGGGGTAAATCCTTCAACAAATGAATTTTAGCAGGATACAATTTAACCATAACAGTGTTATTTGCCATACTTCACAAATAAGAAGGCTGAGAATCACAGGTGTCAAATAATATGACTCAGTCACCTTTTAATGAAAGGGAGGATCCGGATCTCTATACTCCTAAGCAAGGCCAATTTTCTTTTATTAAAAATGCATTATGAACCCGGTCTTTGTGTGTACTTGACCCTTGCAAGTAGAGTGAAAAGAAAGAAGTTGACTCAGGCTAGTGGAAGTGGACCCAACACCCACATAATAAGGGAAGCCCTTAAATAGAGCTTTACATATTTTTAATTAGTGTTTCACAATCAAGGGTGATTTTTGCCCACTCAAGGAATATTTAAAATCTTCTAGATACATTTTTGGTTGTCATAACTGAGCCTTTGCTGCTAGCATCTAGTGAATAGAGGTCATAGATGCCGCTAAATATCCTACAATGCATAGGACAGTCCCGACAACTAGTTATCTAGGACAAAATATCAATACTGGTAAATTTAAGAAACCCTACATCAGAGTACAACAACTTGCACATTGAATGTGGCTATCCCCAGAAAGTGATCACCTTCTTTTAGTCATCTATTGGCTAGAGTTTAGGACTGAAGGGGTGGGAAAATATATAGACTTATTTTGAAAATTTGGAATTCTGTCCTGACCATTCTTGGACATGAGCACATTTCTTTCCCCAGTTATTAGTATACCTATAGCGAGCAACTTGGCAAAAATGGGACCTAAGAGATTCAAACCTAATTTCAGTTACCTTGCATAAAAATGTCCTTGTCCCTCTTGCACCTGATCCTTCTAGATGAAAGGTTTGGGTGAGTGTAGGATATGATTTAAAAAAAAAATCAAAGTTATAGTTACCAGAATGATAGATTCAGGTATTGTGGAGATAGAGAAAGAGCAACAACCTAGCACCTAAGGTTGTACAGAAAAAGGAAGGGCATTAATGATCTTTGTCTGTCAGGACTGACTCAGGAGCCTTCCTCCTCAAGGAAAACATTCTGGTGCAGGTTTCCCAAACAGTTGCAAGGACATTCAATTTAACTGACTGCTGGGCTGGCCACTTGCAGCCAGATAAGTCTAACCACCTTTCCCCTTTACCTTATAGAGAGGTCTGTCAGAAACAACAGGAGATGATCCCAGCTCCTGCACACATACACATGTGCACATGCGTGCCTCTTGATATCAACCTCACCTTCGTTCTCAATCCTTCCTTGGAACAGACTAATGTCATGCCCCCAAGCTGAGCATGGACAAAGCAGCATATTGGGTTGACTGCACTTTAGCAAATCTCCCAAACAAGGACTAGGCTGAATTATTTTAACTGAACTGGGAACCTTAAGGTTTGCCGGCTAGCATTCTCAACTTACTTTCCTAATTGATGTAGGTAACACTCAGGATGGGGCGACCCTACCAATTGTAAACACTTTCAAGGGCACCATTTATACTCTCAGACTGTACTTCTTGGATGAGAGCCAGGCATTAATATGGCTCTTTCCTGAAAACACTGTGATTTGTTCTTTAAACGTGGTAAACTTTCAGCATTTTAGATCTTCCAACACCTTAAAGGGCTTAACTCTGAGGAAACAACATCCATATCAGGAACCTCAGCTTTGTTATTTCGTTTGCTTTAGGGAAAGGACATTTGGTCTGTTATGTAGGGATATATTCTAGTTGCCTGCTCTGCTTACTGGGGTGAAGCATGGAAGGAATAAGGCTTAGTGGCTCTTGTCACTTTTACAGATCTCCAGTTCCCTCCCCACTTCTGCTCCTACTCTTCTAATTTCAATTTCACTCTTTACTTCTGTCATCTAGCACCCATTCCTTGGTTAACATGCTAGACATCACTCTACCCATGTCTTCATTGCTATATGAGAGTTTATTTTTCTTTCTACTTTGTTTTTATTTCAGTTGTGTCTCAGCAGGACACAATATACACATATAGAATTATCCTTCAACCAGGGCTGAACTCTTTAATTTTTAATTTGTTATGTTGCTGTCAATTTGATCCAGAATATAAGATTATTAATTTATGAGCATAACTTGTCATATAAGTGGTTATAGCTGGCTTTATCCCTCATCTTCTTAGAAATAATTATACTACTGCTCCTGCTGCTAATGATTTTTAAAAGCTATTTCTTGAGTGCTAAAAATGTTCCAGATAATTTACATATAGTTTCTAATTTTTAAAACAAGATGGAGAAATTGTAGCTTGAGGAGAAAATAAGTAAATTGTCTAAGGTCACGAAACTGGTAAGCATCAGGGCCTGCATGATCATCAAGGGCTGTATGAATATGAGGCTTTTGCTTTATCTTTTATATCACTCTCTCTCTTTTTGTTGTTTAGAAAGTGACTAAGCCATTAAAATTACCAGAAGTCATGTGTTCAAAGCATGTATTCAAACCTTGAAGAGTCCAGGGCACCTCTTCAAAAATGCTCACCGGGATTTTATGGTAAATACAGGGCAATTTCAAAATGTTTCTTCTTTTTGTATCATCAATAACCTACTTAAAGTTCCTTTTGAAGTTACTTCTAGAAAACTTAAAGATGAAATAAACTTTCTTGACATGTTATCTTCTCACTCACCATACCTAGAGAGACTGAACATTTTGGTTAATTTTTCACTCACTGTGTAGGCAGTAAGGATTGCTTTTCTGTTTTGTTGCCCTCTTAAATGTTCCCTTAATAGCAGGTTATGCCATCTAATGGCCAATTTGCTTTTTCACCATTTTGCTTGTCACGCTGGTTTCCCTAACATTAAGTAGCTAAGACTAGAAAAGGGCTCATAGAGGTTACACAGCTCAATAGAATGCCTGTACTTTTCTCATTTTTTTCTTCTTCTTTCTTCAAAAACATTTTATTTTTATATCCCATTTATATTGATGTCCTCCTTCATCTTCCCTTATAAACTCACTGGGAAAAAGACAGCAAAAAATGCAAATATTCTTTCATTTCCCTACAGCATTAATTTTTAAAATCGCAGATTAAAACTAGCTGATAGGAGAAGAATAAAGAGAAATAACATCAAAACAGAAATTTTTCTGAGGTGGGAGGATCATTTAAGGCCAGGAATTTGAGGACCAGCTGGGCAACATATTGAGACCCCATCTATAGAAAAAATTCAAACTTTACCTAGGCACATTCTAGGAAGTAGAAAGCACTCTGTTTTACTCACTCCCAAGATCGTAGCGAAAATTTTGCAAATGCTACCGGATCGATGCTTGCCATCTCTTACCTGAAATAGTTACATTAGGCTGGGCATGGTGGTTCATGCCTATAATCCAAGTACTTTGGGATGCCGAGGTGGGGGAATCACTTGAGGTCAGGAGTTCGAAACCAGCCTGGCCAACATGGCAAAACCCAGTATCCACAAAAAATACAAAAATTAGCTGGGCATGGTGGTGCATGCCTGTAGTCCCAGCTATGTGGGAGGCTGAGGCAGGAGGATTGCTTGCACCTAGAAGGCAGAGGTTCACTACACTCCAGCCTCGATGACAGAGTGAGACTCCACCTAAAAAAAAAGTTACGTTAACAACTGCATAGACACCAGAAGAATGCCATTGACCACAGAGGCAAAGTTTGGACTAATATAGCTACAAGCCAATGAACTTCAAGATGCCAACCCACGGAAGCTAGGAAACAAGGAAGGATGCTATCCAGTGTCTCAGAGCAGTCATGGCTTTGCTGACACCTTGATTTTGGACTTCCAGTTTCCAGAACTGTGAGATAATATATTTCTATAATAAAAACAAATAACTCCACATTGTAAATTCAGCTTGCTTTTTTAATTAATGAAAGTTCATTCTGTAAGCTACATCCTTCCAATTACATATAAGCTGAAATTTTGTTATATCTTTACAGAAATGTCTGAACGGACTTTTTTTTATAGTTAACTTTGTTTTTCATATAAACACAATTTTGTGTTAAAAAGGTAACTGAAGGAAAGAATACCATGGCTAGAATCATTATACAAGTAATGTTGTAGGCTTTTCAACTGAACTGTTACTACTGTTTCTAATAATATACCTCTAGAACAAAATTACATTAATATTATTTTATCAACCTGGTTCTTCCCCACTCCAAACTAAGACTTTCCTCCCCAGAGATGATTTCCAAATCATGCCCCCAATTAAGACTTTCTCGCTTAAGTTCATCACCCAGGTGCTCATTACTATTTTTCTAAAGATTATGAGAAATTTTGTTTTTACAGAATTAAACCTTCTTAACTCATCATATTTGTAATTTATCATTATAAGTTCACATGTAAAAGTTGGTGGAATCAGTCTTTTTAGCTCATTCATGTTTACAGAATTATGTTGAGGGTCCCCTATACAGATTTTAGGAGCTAAGATGAGGTTTCTTCTTGGGGGATGTTTCATCTTCTTCATCTTCTTCTTTTTCTTTTTCATCATCTGGATGATCCACTGAACAAACCACACTGTTATCGCCTGGGCTACTTGTTCCAATAGCAGCACAAGCAGAATAAGATGAAGAGAATCCAAGGTCACCAGAAGATGTTCTTTTAGGAGAGTCTATCTTGTCTTCATGTTCTTGGGTTCGTTTAGTCTCCATAAATTCATCATCATCTTCCAGTGGTGGCATATCTGCTTCTTCTGCGCCTTCTGTAAAACACATTTCTTCTTTCACCTCCATTTCTTCTTCGGTACCTGTGCAAACTACTATATTTTGCAGTACAGAATGTAAATTCTTTCGTATTTCAGTTTGTGTGTATCTCTCTTGTTCATAGTTAATCTTCAATCCTTGGAATGTTTGAACATATCTAATCGATTCAAGAGTGTTATAAAACTTTTCAACTATATGTGAAACAAGAGACTTGATATTTTCCACTCTTATGTATTCAAATAGCTCAAGAATAGCTGAATTCAACATATTGTACCGAGTGCCATTATCTAGAAGAGCATTTACAACTGGCCCGAAAAGATTTCCCTCGATGATGTAACAAATATAAACTTCATCTTTAAGGCCAATCATCCTTCTCATAAAGCGAAGAGCACACAAAATCAGGTGAGTATGCTTTGATTTCATCAAGATCAAGGCTTTTCTTAGCAGGTCTTTGTTCAAGATGTAGTTTCTCATGTAGTATGTGTGATGTTCTACACAAAACGTAAGTAGCTCTAATATCAAAGCAAGCAGCTGTGCTGTTTGATTATTATTAGGGCAATTTTTGATTTTCTCATATCCAAATATGTCATCCTCCTCACAGTTGTGTTTTGAGGTGGCAGCTAAAAGTGGTGCTACCAATATATGCATGCAATGTTTGTAGAAGAGATGTAGAAATTCACTTCTTTCAGTTTTCTCAGGTGTTGACGGCATGTTGCTTGGATCAAGTAGAGTACGGAGAAATGCCATCAAATGAGCAGCCCCTCCTAACTCAGGATCGGTATCACAGATCATTTGTTTAATTATTACATTAATGAAAAGGTCACTGTCATTGCACAGGTGGGCTTCTGAAATTATAAATTCTCGGATCTTGGATGGACTGTATTCCACTAGATAAGCACATATATCTGCAGCAGCTGACCTTACTTGCAAATTATCCCTGATCATTACGATTTTAAGAACAGGAAGAATTCCCAACTGTGTCAGCGTTTCTAACAGTTCATCCTTGATTTCAGGCTGTAATGCCTGAGAAAATGAACATAATTCCTTGAAAAAAAATAGCAATTCACACCGTCTATTTTCATGTATAGTCTCATCCCTTAGCTGTGCAAAAGCTTCAAACAAAAATTTGTGGTCTTTCTGCAGCGTGCTGACTATCTCAGCCTTGTTGTAGAAAATAAATGTTGCAAGTGTAGAAAGCAGACTCTCTTCAAACATGTTTGGCACAGGCAAAAGAATATCATAAATGTACTGTACTATGTATGTCTGATGTATTTTTTGCTTAAGTTCAGAGTTAGTCATTGGTATAACTTCCTTGAACTTTGCATTGTGGATCAAGTAGTCTCTATGCCTTTTTGGCTGATCCAAATCAGGATCATACTCAAGGCATCCCACCACATCCATGATATGCTCATCAGAAAACATTATGTCTAACAGACATGCTTTGTTGAGGAGTAAGATTCCCTTAATAATTTCATACAAACAGTATAAACCTTCAGTATTCCCTAGGTTTTCACAAGTGTGGAACAGTTGCAGTAGTTTTTGAATATAAGCCTCATTTTTCAACATCAGAGCCAGCCTTTCTCTACGGATAGGTGACGAGTGAACTGAGGTAACTATGTTAGCAATTTGATCAAGTCTATCGAGTTCACAGTCAGGCAGCTCAATCACATAACTAATTTCTGACATTTCATCAAATTCTTCTTCTGATTCATCTGAAATGTCCTGTGTGATTAGGACACATGGATCTTTACCTTGAACTTGGCAAATTTCTTCCCAAATATCTTGGCAGCCAGCTGGGTCCTGGAAATTCAGCACCATACCACGTTTCTCAGCTTCATACCAAACAATTAGTGTCTCTTGATGTTTCCGATAGGGCCTGTCTGGCAGTATCTGTGACCGCAAGATGACTGACCCATCTGAATCCGACCGAACAAGCAGCGACATGCCCTGGAACTGCTCATCGTAAGTGGATGAGATGTGACCGGTGCCTAGAGCGACCCATTGCTGGTTTTCGTTCAGGAGATGGACGTTTACTCTGTACCGCGGGTCTGCCATGGCGTCCTCTGGCCTCGCCAAGTCACGTCCGGTCTCGGCTACGCTGCCTCCGGTACGGCACGTAAGCTGCCGCAACGACGGTGGCCGAGAGGGCACTCGTAACAGAAGATGGCAAATCACTAATGATTACAGGGGCGGGGCCAAGCCTCCAGAGAGGCCAGAAGGCAGCGGGGTTTCCTCTGGTTCCATCTGGAGCCCCTGTTACCTCTCACTTTCCCCCACCTCGAGCACACTGAATCTTCTTCTCGCCATTGCCCCCCAACTCCCCATCCCCTATTGTCTCTTAAAAAGTGAGTTTCAGGCTGGGCGTGGTGCGCTCACACCTGTAATCCCAGCACTTTGGGAGGCTTGAGGCGAGTGGATCACATGAGGTCAGGAGTTCGAGACCAGCCTGGCCAACATGGTGAAACCCTGTCTCTACTAAAAATACAAAAATTAGGTGGGCGTGGTAGTGGGTGCCTGTAATTCCAGCTACTAGGGTGGCTTAGGCAGGAGAATGGCTTGAACACAGGAGGCAGAGGATGCAATGAGCCAAGATCCAGCCTGGGGCAACAAGAGCAAAACTGTCTCAAAAAAAAAAAAAAAAAGCAAGTTTCTTGGACTGTTTTGCATTGTCTAGAAAAGCGTCATTCTGGCAGGAATCTTGTGATTTCCCTAGAATTCTGCCCCAACAGAATGTGCTTATTTAACAAGTACTATACTTGTTAAAAAGAGCTGCCACCAAGCTTACAAATGGAAACTTAGGAAGTAGAATATGATTTTTCTATAATGAGTTTTGTTCTCTGAAACATTTTCACTCATCAGGTATTTGGGAATGGAGACTTAGGAACTTCGATAAAAGAAACTTTAATCATTTGTATCCTGACAAAGTTCACATTTCATATTCTATGTCAAGAAAAGGCTGGTCCAAAAAATAAGCAGGAGCACATGACCTATAGACCATTAGCAAGAATCAGAGAAATGGAATTCAGTCTACCCAATAAGGCTTGGCATAAATCTTTATCATTCACTTAGATATCCTTTGGGAGGATTGTTTTAAGAAGGAGCTGGTTAACTCCTTTGGTCTGTTTAGCTCAGCCTGAAGCTCTATCTTCTAGCACAATGGGGAAAACATTTCCCCAAATTTTCCCACTCCATAAGGACACTCCTCATTCGTAGGTAAGGACTGGGCCAAAGGAAAACTGAGTTGAAATTAGTGAAGAATGAGTACTGACCATCACAGATCAATTATTTTATTTCTTTTCTTTATAATAATAATAACCACAACTAATAATAATTGATTACTTATTATTATTGTGAAGAAAGGTAGTAACATAAATGATCAAATCTAATAATACCTTTATGCTTATTATGTTCAAGACACTGACAAGAACGTTAGAGCTACTTTCTTACTTAGTTTACATAATGATCCTGTGATATAGGGGTATTAGCAATACTTTTAGGATGAGGAAATAAATTGGAGATGTTAAATAAATTGCCAAAGGTCATACACTAATAAGTTGAGGAACTCTGTGTTCAACATGTCTTTCTGCTTCCAAAACTGGTTTTCTCAGCCATTGAACTATGCTATCCCCTTCTTTTCTTGGCCTTCATTACACTTTATTTCACATTTCTTCCATCTATATAATTTGTAATCAACATAAAATTATCAAGTCAAGATGAAAGTCACGCACTTCCTCCTTTAGATCCACATCTGTGTATAGCCAACTGAAAAATAGAAGCCTGGATATGGCAACTCTGTTAAATATAATTTTAATAGTAGCCAAGTTGATTTTTGATGTAGCAGCAAGTTTTGCAGTTTTCCTTTAAAATATATTTTTCCAAAACATTAACCCTGTTATTGCAAGGGAAAGCTAAGAATTGGGGCACATCAAGCACATTTGGACTTGAAGATCCTGTTTGTAGCAATCACTTCATTTTACATAGCATTGGAGATGTGTGACAATTCTTAAGTGGAAAAGAAAAACTTGCATACACCTCTTCTACAGTGTGGCCTACAGTAGATTGCAGTTCAAGAATATTACTTATGACAGTACAGCTGAGGCACTTGGGGAATTGAATACAAAATGACAATTATTTCATGGGAAAATTTAAATCAATGCCAGGAGACTGCTGGTTTAGAAGCATTTACAAATTATAAATAATGTTTAAACATAAAAATTAATAAATGACATATATATAAGAATGATATATGTACTAAACAAATTTTCTTTCAATATGACAGAATGTGCAAATACACAATAATAATACTGACATGTTTGCTAATGGTCTAATTTTTTTCTCTGCTGTGTTCATATTGAAGTCTCTATCAGAATCAATTATAATACTGTCAGTCCGTTGAATATGGCTTCAAGTTCCATTCTCTGAGAGGCATTCAGCACAAATCTCTGTGTTCTCAAAATTTTGTCACTGGGAGTTTCCCTTAGGCCAACTCAGGTTCCTTTATCTTAATTAGGTTAACAAAAGTCTCTGCAATCTGAAAGTCTCATATTCACGTTCTTAGTGCTATTTCTGCAGTAGTTTCTTTCAGTTCCTGTCTTTATTTGGTTTGATAAATAGAGCAATGTCCTTTTTTCTTCATCAGTTAACATTATTATTTTGTTATTTTTATAGTTGTTTCATAGGGAGCAAAGTAATAAGACTGAAAAAATACCATATTCTAGGAGCTGTGTAAATCCTTTTAATGTACATTATGTACTTTTTCATTTAGTCCTCATAAAAAGTGACCTAAGAAAGATATTATTACTATCTTACTAGAGAGGAAAAAACATAAAACTCCAAAACTGAGTCAAACATTTGGTACAAATCCCTGTAGTAAGTGATGATGCCAGAACTTGAAACCAGTCCTTTTATAGTTCCAACTCTGCACTTTGCTCTTCCCAATATGCAGTGTTCTCTCTTAGACTATATAAATTTTTATAGCAGATGTTTACAACAATGTAGTTTTTGTTCCACCTATGACTGTTATTTGGTGTTTCTTCATTTCATTATGTGAAGAAAAATACTTGAGGCCAGTTCAAAATAAAAATGAGTAGATCGAGTCCTAAGATTAATAATTCCTCTTTTGTTTTGCATGCTTGCCCCTCTCACATTTCCTCCCTATGAATGTAGGGTAGTAAGATTTAGTTCGTCATGACTCTATTCTAAAACTACATTTACACAAGGCTCTTGTAATTCATCCATATCTTAGGACCACTAGAGTTTAAATTTTATATTTCCAGTTATTTAGGAAACAATAAAGGAATGAGTCACACATTTCTGAATTTTAGGTACAGTAAACTCATACAAAATATTTATACAGTCATGAGCCATATAAAGACATTTAGGTCTACAATGGGCTGCATATATGATATTGGTCCCATAAGATTATAGTTGAACTTAAAAATTCCTATCACCTAGCTGTCATAACATTGTAGCTCAATACATTACCTTATCTATGTTTAGATATAGAAATATTTACCATTGCGTTGTTAACTGCCTATCGTATTCAGCACAGTGACATGGTGTGCAGATGTGTAGCCTAGGAGGAAAAAGCTATATCATATAGCCTAGGTGTGTAGGAGGCTATACCATCTAGGTTTGTGTAAATACGCTCTATGGCATTCACACAATGACAAAATTGCCTAAAGATGCATTTCCAAGAACATATCCCTGTCATTAAGTGACACATGACAGGGATATGTTCTATACAGGGATATTTATATACAAAATGTATATAAAACATTTTGATGTCTAAATATTCTATCTATAAGAGGAGAGAGCATTTCGTAGTGGGAAAAGCAAAGTGAGTTTTGATTTTATGAAATGGCATTAAAATATGGTGATTCAAATGTATCTCACCTATAATTTTCAACTTCAAAATAATTAGTGTAAAATATACCTACATGTTTACTACAAATTTTCTAGCTAACTTATGCTGTGGAATGTTTCCTTTTATGGCATATCTTATGGGAATATCTGAAACACAAGGCAAGCAGTGTCAACTCCATCTTTCCTGTGGCTCAGGTAAAAAATATAGAGTCATTCTTGATTTTTCCCTTTCTCTTACTCCCCACATTCAGTCTTCTAACATATATTATCTGTCTGACTTTCAAAATGTGTTCAGAATCCTCCTACTTCTCATTACATTTGTTATCATTATTACTATCAGTGTCAAAGCCACCATCATCTCTAATTTGCAAATTATTAATAGTCTCTTCTCTTGGTTTCTGCCTTTTCCCTATATTAGTGTATTTTGAATGCAATAGCCAGAAAGGATTCATTTAAGACATAAGTCACATTCTCCCACTTCTTTGCTAAAAATTAATGTTTCTACCTTAGAATAAAAGCCAACACTCTAACTATCGCCTATTCACTGCAATAAGATCTGGCCCCCTTGATCTACTTGAGCTCTTCACCTAGTAGTCTCTTTCTTCCTTATCTGCCCCAGCCACACTAGCCACCATCCTGTGTCTGAAGTACATTGGGCACACTTGCCTCAGGACCTTCGATTTTGTCCTTCTTTCCACCTGGAACACTCTATTTCCCAATATCTACGTAACTAACACCTTCATTTCTTAAAAATTTATTCAAATGTTCTTGTTTTTCTAGTGACACCTTCCCTAACAACCTCTTTAAAATGGCAGGGGCCTTCCATTCCAACTCACCTATCACTTTTCTTCAATGTATATTTTCTCCATACAACTTATCATCATGTGATCATTTTGAACTTCATTTATTCTGTTTTCTGAAACCAGACTATCAACTGCATGAAGGCTATGATTTCCTTATTTTGCACACTGCTGTGTCCCTAGCATCTACCACAGGCATGGTGCACGTAGTTTCTCAACAATTATTTGAAGCATAAATGCATGAATAAATAAACATTATTTATAGGATAATTTCCAATAATCCATTTATTTATTCCACAAATAGTCATTGAGAAACCCCTATGGCCAGGCCATATACCAGGCACTGGGGATGAAACATTGAATTTGAACTTTATGTTCAGTACTCTTATG